ATATAAAAAAATATATTGGCAAAAATATAAATCAATAAATAAAGCAGTAAACATTAATCAAAAGTAAAATACCAGAAAAATAATGATAAAAAGGGGAGGGCGGCAACCAGTATGCAAAGTGGTTGAACCAGCGGAAATAATAACTTATCAGCTCAAAGATACACTTAACCCTGGTCCCTGCTATAAGACAGATAATGATAATATTAAAAATAGTATATATTGGCTGTACATTAGTATACTGTGCATCCATAAAATAATTTATTCTTAAATAATATTGTGAATTGTGCATTCACAAGCAGCCACTGATGGGGTAAACTGAGGTTATCCGCTGTTATGTTAAAAGGTTTTAACTTATGGGTTACTAACACAGATCTTTAACCACTAGACTATACCACTCACAGACATTTAGCACTTCTCATTTACAGAGCTGGGTGCAAAGTCTTTATTTTTGGCTGAGCGTGACTGTGACACGATGAACTTAACCCTGAATTGTCATCATCGCATGTGTGAGTCAGATGCGTTAAGAAGCATGATCAGTGACTCAGTACTGTATGTATTATGTTACAGGGATTATTCACACACACAAAAATGACAGTTTGCTTTATAATTTAGTCACTCTTGGGTCATCACAGATAAATAAATGACATTTTTTTAATTCAGTGAATAATAAAACAAGGCTTTTTAGCTGAAAGTGTGAATCTTGACTCTAAAAAATTTAATGGCCACTTTTCGAGAGTTAAAAAAAAAAGGAAGTCAAAAAAAGAAAAAAGAAATTAAATCGGTATCACTATCAGGGCTTGCAAAATCTGGTAGCCTAAAGTCATGGGCTATTATTTTATCAATCAGGCTACCAAATTCTATCTACACCATGCCCAGCGGGGTATCTCGATAGCCTGTCAGGCACGATGTTGATTAATTTTGAAAGCCCAACTGAAAAAACAATAGCCCCGGGACGTCGGGCTACCAGATTTTGTGAGCCCTGACTTTATTTTGATGGTGTTTTTAATGCGTTTTGTTGAATTTAAGCTACAATGCATCTACATGCAAACTAGTTCTTATTAGATTATAAGTAGACTGTTATGTTTGGGTTAGGGTTAGTGTAAGCTGACATGTACTTGCAACGTTTCTTAAAGTCAGTTAAATGTGTTGAAGGAGCAGTATCAACAGATATTAAGCAGACAGTCTACTAATACTCGAATGAGAATTAATTGGCATGCCGTTGCAATGCAACTTATAGTCAACAAAATGTGCAATAGGGACCATCAAAATAAAGTCTTCTGAAGTCCATGACACTCTGAGGTCTTATGAAGCAAAAATCCTGTCATATTTAGATCTGTGCAAGAAACTGAACATTGTTTATGATATTATTTCCTTTATTCCACAACCTTGGCAGTCTCATAATTTTATGAATATTAATTTTGTATAGCATGTATGCTTTTTTTATTTTCAAAGAGTAAATAGCTTTTGTGTTGAATTGAACTAATAACCAAGGACTAGTTTAACAACAACAAAACAGTTAGAAATAAGCCAAGTATATATAAATATAAATATATATATATATATATATATATATATATATATATATATATATATATATATATATATATATATATATATATATACACATACATATATATACACATACATATATATATATACACATACATATATACATATATATATATATATACATACATACATACATATATACATATATACATATATACATATATATATATATATATATATATATATATATATATAGGATAGAAAATGTGTGTGTATTGTTGACGAATTTTTTGTTTGTTTTAGCATGTAAAATCACCATTTGAATTGACACATACAAGACACTATCAGACCAAAGCATTTTAGTATAATAAATAGCTGAATTGTCACAAATACATAGGTATTTACACAATATGTAAATATGTTTTATCCCTCATGAAAACAAGTAAATAATAAACTGATTACACAAACATATGGGTGGTTATGCAACACTGGATGGCGAAACATCTTTCAAGAAATTCGCTAGCAGATAAACTCCAAAAATAACGATTAAAATATTAACATCTCGAAACAACCCTGAAGTAATTCTTCAATAGACGAAAATAAGGATGTTTGTTTACGTTATCTAGAAACGTTGCAACCTATAAAGAGAGCAGCTAGCTCATTCGTTTACTGATAAAACAAAGACTTCACCTACCACCTCATAAAAGAGACCTTTGAACATGGTTCAAGTAAAATGTCAACAACATACCTTAAATTCAGTACAACATCGTTAGATATAGTGTAAAAGTTTAAGTGTTTATATTAGGTAAGCTGTTGCTAACAGGCTAGCCGGGCTAACGTTAGCTTAACTATTCATGCAACATTATGTGTGACTCACCATATAAACTACATTTAGCGAGCAGAGGGCGTTTTTCGAGCACGTAAATCCTCCGCAAACCATGTTGAATCTTCAGGCATTTACCGGTGAGATGAAACGATGTGCTACTGATGTTGTTTTCGCCAATGTGAGTACGTTCCTGTTCTCTTGTGTGGTAGCTTTTTTTTTTTTTTTTTTTTTTTTTTTTTTTTTTTTTTTTTTATTAAAGAGATCAATCAAATACAATTACATACAGAGAGACAAATAATACAAATAAAAACAAATGCACAGAAATACACACAAAGACAAATAAACGCCAGGGTAACAAAAATAAAATTGATGAAATAAAGTTACATCTTAAAGAGACACAAAAGAAGAATATAAGGATACCGTTCATCCGATTCATAAACGAACTGTTCATTTGAGTCGAATCTTGTTGATGATTCAATTGAACCGACTCACAAAACGGTCTGCCCTGAGTCATTTCTAGCTTTGCGGTCTTATTTTCAAAGCAAATTACATTTTGTATATAGATTATTGATGTATTAAGACGAACGAAAATAAGACAAAATAGCAATAAACACCCCTGTTTTAAAACGCAAGTAACATATATGTGAAAAAATCATTGTATTTGTATTTATTTTTTATAGGGTTTTAACAATACAATCATATTAATAACCATAACATTGGATTGTATCAAGTACAATAATAAATAAGGAGATAAAAAATATAAATACAAGAAAACAAAAAATACAACTAAAACAGGGTACAGAGGCACAATTATCATATTAAATAATATTTACAAAGTCCTTGTAAAATTTCAGTTTTTAGACTTTTTTATTTTAAACATTTTGTAATGTAGTAATTACACAATTTAGGTCACAAAGAAAATTCAGCAAATTAGGTAAAGATAAATAAAATGTACAATTGCAAATTTACCCATTAAAATAAATGAATTACCTATAAATTTTAAGATACATTTTTCACACATGGCAAAATCAATGTTAAACTTACATTTTGATTTTAAAAAGCTCCGATAAATACGACCAAACCATTTTATATGTGGTCATTTAACATAAAAGATGATCAGTCGATTCAATTCTTGAGTTACAAAAGACACAATTTAAATTATTACCAAATTAAAATACAATCTCGTTACAAAAAACATTTTAGACATGGATGCAGCCCTACATGATGACACAATAGGGTAATAAAATGCATAAATCGAAGAACGTAGCCTATTCTTTATAACAAAATTAACAAAGTGTCTTACACGATACTTCATAAAATTTATCATGCTAAACATATTTTGGAAAGATTCAAACTTAATATTTTATATTTTTGTGAATTTTGTGGTCAAGAAAATTAAACAATTTTGCATCTTTTTTTCATTGTATTTAATCAAGAAAATTTTAGAAAGAATTAAAATTGTTTATTAACAAGAAAATGGAGTATAAGATGGAAATTTGTTTATTTAATTTACTGTTTTATTCTGGCAATGAGATTTTTGAACCATAAAAAACAACATATTTTTAAATTAGGAAAATACCACAAACATAAGAAAAGGTGGACTCAATGTTACCCAAACTTTTCCCATTTTGTGAATGACTTCAGATTATACATCTTTTAAAACAATTACAAAAACAAACATGTAATGCTCTGAAAACATTTTATTTCATGTAAACGTATATTTTTTATGTTTTTCAGAAATCTATGTGAAACGTAATATCTCTTGTTATTGTGGCATTTAATTATTTTTAATAAAGAAGAAAAACTTATTATTTGAAATGAACTGTTCAAAGGAACCGATTAGCGGAATTCGGTTTGTGCCACTGGGCTGAACCATGGGCTGAACTAGCCGGTGACGTGAATCGAAGCCGCAGACCCTCTAGCGGCAGAACTTGACTTCACGTGCTCTTCTAGCAATACTAGCGATTAGAAAGTAAGGGATATGTCAGAAATGTCAGATATACAATGAATCATTGCGGTTCATTCCGCAGTGGCGACCCCTGATTAATAAAGAGACTAAGCCGAAAATAAAATGGGTGACTTAATTAATAAAATGAATAAAGCCATAATATTAAACAAAAAGAAAACAAAACAAACGGAAAAAAGAAAGCAGACACTTTATAATAATAGCCATGTATTAAACATTATTTTTAATGACAGCAGCAAGTAATTTATCTTTTTTGTTTACCTTTTTATATTAGATAATTTACTACAAAAATACTGCATATGATATGATTTTGCCATTTAAATGTTTTGTCACACACACACAAGCCTTTTCACAGCATAAATGTGAATGAGATGTAAATTATATACAATTATACAGTACTAAATATTCATTCATTCATTTTCTTGTCAGCTTAGTCCTTTTATTAATCTGAGGTCGCCACAGCGGAATGAACCGTCAAATTATCCAGCATATGTTTAACTCAGCGGATGCCCTTACAGCTGCAACCCATCAGGAAACATCCATACACACTCATTCACACACATACACTATGGACAAATTTAGCTTACCCTATTCAAATATTATATTATTCACAATTCTGTCCCTAAATAATAAGACCTAACATACCAAAATTATCAAACACATATGCAAACATCAATATGGAAAGCATTTTCTAATACATATATATATATATAATAGCGATCATTTTTAGATTTGTATATAAATTAGTTTATTGAAAAAATAATAGAGCACTGATTTAGAGATCATAGTAAACACCGTGTCTCTCTTGTCTGAAACATAACCTCATATAAACCAAGGCTGGAGTGAAGCGTGTGCGCTGCTTCAACGTCATTGGATGAGCAGAGTAGCAACAAACCACGTCACACCTCGCCCCGCCCTCTGTCGTCACGGGCGTGCGAGACAGGATGCTGCATTGAGGACTGATGAGAAAGAAAGAGCAGTTTTCTAAATCAGACACTACGAGGCCCTGAAGACACGATACCGTTTATATTTAGGTATTTGCATCATACGTTCCTGTAAATCACAATTATTACTGATAATAACCCGATACCACAATCTGATTCCATTTTGTGGAAATGAATGGGGAGGCAGGATAAATGTCATACGTTTTAATACAGTGAATATTTAGGATGGTGCATTTTTGTGAATGTGCATTTTCTATTGAACATTTCAATGTGTCCATGTCATTGGCCCATGAACATGTCCTGCTTGTTATCAAGCTATTTTCATAACTGTAACGAAGCAATTTAATCATGACTTAATGTTAAAACAGCCATCATAACATTATTTATCAATATGTGGCTTTTTTGGGATTCTCGGAAGAGGTAGATATTAAAAATGTAAAACAGGAAATACGCCGGGACCATTGTTCTTGTTTACATCCCTCAAAATGGTCTATGCGAGCCCTTTGTGTGTTAACATTATACATTTCTCTCAAATGGGTATCTACCTTTAAACAGCCAATATTCACAATATTAATTTGATGTAAGCATTATCTGTGATAAAAACATACAGGCTTATCATATTTAACATAATGTTTGAAATGATATATTAATTTAACATTTTGAAATAAAGACCCGTTAACATTTATCCGAGTATAATAATATGCTACTGTAAGTTTGTTTTATTTATTACACTTTTTTTATTGTGACTAAATATATTTATTTTTGGTGACCCGGTGGCGCAGTGGGTTGCAAGATCGCCTCACAGCAAGAAGGTTACTGGTTTGAGTCCCGTCTGGGCCAGTTGACATTTCTGTGTGGAGTTTGTATGTTCTCCCCGTGTTCATGTGGGTTTCCTTCGGGTGCTCCGGTTTCCCGCACAGTCCAAAGACATGTGGTATAGGTGAATTGGGTAAGCTAAATTGGCTGTAGTACTGTATATGAGTGTATATGGTGCTACTCATCCGTTTGCACTGGCTGCCAGTTGCTGCTCGCATTAAATTCAAAGCTCTGATGTTTGCTTACAAAGCAATTTCTGGCTGCGCCCCTTCTTATCTGCTCTCACTTCTGCAGATCTATGTGCCCTCCAGAAACTTAAGTTCTGTGAATGAACGTCGCCTCGTGGTGCCATCCCAAAGAGGGAAGAAATCACTTTCCCGAACGCTCACGTTCAATCTGCCCAGTAGGTGGAATGAACTCCCTAACTGCATCAGAACGGCAGAGTCACTTGCTGTTTTCAAGAAACGACTAAAAACTCAACAATTAGTCTCCACTTCACTTCCTAATCTGCAATTGCCTCTCTGGATATACCACTAACTGTATTAAAAAAAAAAAAAAAACAATTTACTAATACTTTCCTTCTCAGACTTTACAGACCTGAAACTTGCCTATAGCACGTATTCATTGTTGCTCTTATAGTTGTGTAAATTGCTTCCTTGTCCTCGTTTGTAAGTCGCTTTGGATAAAAGTGTCTGCTAAATGACTAAATGTAAATGTAAATGTAAATATGGGTGTTTCCCAGTACTGGTTGCAGCATGGAAGGGCATCGACTGTGTAAAACATGTGCTGGATGAGTTGTCGGTTCATTCTGCCGTGGTGACCCCTGATGAATAAAAGGACTAAGCCGAAGGAAAATAAATGAATGAATAAATTTATTATTCACATTTTTTTATTGCCACAGTATGAAAAGTTTGTAACAAAACTGAAAAAGAGAGATGTCATCCAAATTAAAGCCTGTAGATGTTTATGTGAAGGACATTTTTTTTTTGTGAAAAAAAAACCCAAAAGTAACCTAAAATGTGAAATTTACACTAACAAAACCTTCTACTTAAAGGTTTCATCTTTTTTTTTTATGTATAAAATGCTTAAATCAGGAATAATTTAGAAAATATTGTTTTGTTTTCAGAAATAATAAGTCAAATATTAAGTGAGTTTTTCCCTAAAAACAAGTCAAAGAAAATTATTTCTAACTGAAAACAAGATTAGGGGTGGCATGGTGGCTGAGTGTTCAAACTGTCGCCTCACAGCAAGAAGGTCGCTGGTTCAAGCCGAGGCTGGGATAGTTGGCATTTTTTTATGGAGTTTGCTTGTTCTCCCCATGTTGGTGTGGGTTTCCCTCACAGTCCATAGACATGTGCTATAGGTGAATTAAATAAACTGAATTGTCTGAGTGTGTGTGAATAAGTGTATGGGTGTTTTCCAGTACTGGGTTGCAGCTC